CAGGGGATAGAGCGTCGGCCTGTGAACTGAAAGGTCCCAGGTTCGATTCCCGGTCAGGGCACATGCCCGGTTGTGGGCTCGATCCCCAGTAGGGGGACGTGCAGGAGGCAGCCGATCCGTGATTCTCTCTCATCATGGATGTTTCTCTATCTCCCTCTTCCTTCCTCTTGGAAATCAATAAAAATATTAAAAAATAAAAAATAAAATAAAGTCCAACCCCCACAACATCAGCACCCAGCAGCACTGGTTCCCACCATCTTTACTTCTCACCACCTTGCTTCATAGTCTATTCCAGCCGACCACACGCATTTATATCAAAGGACTGACTTTTATATTGCCAGAGCTAATCATGGGTTGCTGTATTTTTAAAAAAATATTTATTTTTATTTTTTTATATATTTTATTGAATTTCCACAGAGAGGAAAGGAGAGGGATAGAGAGCCAGAAACATCGATGAGAGAGAAACATCGATCAGCTGCCTCCTGCACACTCCCCACTGGGGATGTGCCAGCAACCAAGGTATATGCCCTTGACCGGAATCGAACCTGGGACCCTTCAGTCCGCAGGCCGACTCTATCCACTGAGCCAAACCGGTCAGGGCTAAAAAATTTTTTTTATATTGATGAGAGAGAGAGAGAGAAACATCAATGATGAGAATCACTGATGGGCTGCATCCTGCACACCCCACAGTGGGCATGTGCCCTGACCGGGAATCGAACCGTGACACTCGGCCACTGAGCCACACCAGCCGGGGCCGAGTTGCCATACTCTCGGTTCTTCCCATGTTCTCTCGGTTGATTCTCAGAACGACCCAAGTGAATACTATTAACACCTCTATCCTGCAGAAGAGGAAACTCGAGGACAGAGAGGCTCCTGCTGTCCACTCACAGGGGAAGTGGCTGGAACCCGGTGGGCTAACCGCAGAGCCTGGCTGTTAGTGTCTGCTCCTTTCCGCCCAGTTCCCTCGTGTCCCTTCCTCTGCTCATGCTGCTCGGTCAGAGGCCCTCCCCCCACTGCCCTCGCTTCTCTAAAACTACTTCCTCCCCGAAACCCTCTGAGAGCCCCACAGCACTTTCTTTTTTTATAAAATATATTTTTATGGATGTCAGAGAGGAAGGCAGAGGGAGAGAAACATCCATGATGAGAGAGAATCACGGATCGGCTGCCTCCTGCACGCCCCACACTGGGAATGGAGCCCGCAACCCGGGCCTGTGCCCTCACCGGGAATCGAACCCTGACCGCCTGGTTCATAGGTCGACGCTCAACCACTGAGCCATGCGGCCGGGCAGCACTTCCTTTTTATAGCGCTCAGCCATTCCTGCGTTGCATTGCGGCTATTTTTATTGGTACCTCCTGTCACCAATGGACGGACCCCCTGTTCATCTTGGCAGCACCCCTTCTGTCTAGCTCAGGCTGAGTATTTCCGGGGTGGGAATTTGCTTACGAGACAGACGGCATATCAGAAACTTCACTTGATGCCCTGGCTGGTGTGGCTCAATGGAGAGAGCATCAACCTGCGGACTGAAGGGTCCCAGATTCGATTCCCAGTCAGGGCACAGGCCTGGGTTGTGAGCTTGATCCCCAGTGGGGGGCGTGCAGGAGGCAGCCGATCCGTGATTCTCTCTCATCATTGATGTTTCTCTCTCTCCCTCCCCCTTCCTCTCTAAAATCAATAAAAATATATATTTAAACACACACACACAAACACTTCACTTGCAGGAGCGCACAGAGAGGAAGATGGTGAGGGCGATGGCGAACGGGGAAGGGAGCATGACATGCACCTCTCTTCGTTCGTGGTCCCCGCACCCCCCACTCCACCCCAATCTCCCCACCAGCTGCACATCCACATGAACACACAGTCTCCTTTCTGCTAACCCCGGGCACCAGATGGCATTTCAAACTCATGACCAGAAGCCTCTATCAAACACACACACACAGAGGTAACCACAACATCATGAAGCATGAAGCGCTGGCAGGAACCCTCCAGTAAAACCTCATCTTGGATACGGAACCTGGGCCTGGAGCGGAGACCTGACCTGCCCGAGGTGACACACGAAGGGAACCCTGGACGCTGACTCTGAATCAACCAGGACAATCCAACCACCTTCGGAAGGGAAAGAGGCCGCTACAAATTCCTGGCTGGAGAACCATCTAAAAAGCTTATTACAGCCCCGGCTGGTGTGGCTCAGTGGGTAGAGCATCGGCCTGTGAACTGACAGGTCCCGGGTTCGATTCCCAGTCAAGGACACATGCCCGGGCTGCGGGCTGGATTCCCCAGTAGGAGGCGTGCAGGAGGCAGCCGATCCATGATTCTCTCTCATCATGGATGTTTCCATCTCTCTCCCTCTCTCTTTTTCTCTGAAATCAATAATTTATATGATGCACACTGACCACCAGGGGGCAGACGCTCAACGCAGGAGCTGTCCCCTGATGGTCAGTGCGCTCCCACAGCCAACCTCCTGCAGTCCCTCCCCGCTGGCGGCCAGCCCCAATTGCCTCGATAGGGACTGGGTGATACTGCCCCAATGGGCCCCAATCGCTGGTCAGGCCAAGGGACCCCAACTGTGCACGAATTCGTGCACCAAGCCTCTAGAGTGTGAGTGTGTGTGTGTGTATATATGGGGTGGGGGGGGTGTGTATATATATATATATATATATATATATATATAAAGCTTATTACAAATGCCCTGTAATTACACCTCCCCCGGGGCACTCAGAAAGCTCCACTCGCACAAAAAAGAACTCACTGCTCAAAAAAAAAAAAAAAAAAAAAAAGGCTCCCCATGAAAGAGTGGTAGAGAGGGAGAGCGCCCAAACTAGCCTTGGATTAGTGCCCAGGTTACCCCCTAGAGGGAAAACCACTCCCCAGGAGGGAAATGCCCCCCCAAAAGGGAAGTTTGGAAACCCCTCCCCCTTCCCCGGTGGGCTCGGGGGCTGAGCGTTGGACCTATTGAACCAGGAGGCCCAGGGTCGAAGGTCACGCGCCCCGGTTG